TGTTAACATGGAAGAAAGAATGTAACTTTAAACTCCTAGAGAAAAAAAATAGGATATTAATAAATGAATAAATCTAAGAAGTAGTTAGGGAGAACATTGAAACAAATGTAGTAGGGCAAACCATTTGGTAATTCAGAAGGGTTGTAAGGTGCCAGGCTATCGATTGTAATCTTATGATAAGAGAGAGCTATGAATGATTGGTTGGTTTTTCTGCCTTTCTAGTGTGATGTGTAATCAAGATGGTTAACAAAATTAAAATTAAAATAGAATATATGGTTAGAAGCCATTAATTAACATTTAAACAGGCAATAACAGTGTCACAAAGCCTGGAGAAACAGGTGCATTTTACTCATTTTCTAATGGAGTAGTACTGGATAAGGCCTTTTTCCATGGGTCAGGAAAAAAAAATCTCTGATGCCAGGGTCATCTTCAAACAGATCTTTCCTGCAGATTATAATGTCTAGACAGTTTTGTAAGAAAGGAGATGGTCCCTAGATAGTCAGATTATAAATTATCTAGTCCTAGATCAATTCCAACAATGTAGTAAGCAGTTGGCAACTAGCACAGCCTTTATCTAATCTCCAATAGCAGCCAACCATGCTGCATCAACAGCAACTTCGAGACTTTTTTTGAGGATAGCCCCACACAGTAATCATGTTACAGTAATCCAGCTGGAAATAATTCTTGCCAAAACAGACTGCACCATCTATAATTATGTAGAGGTACTGCTCACCACAGATGCTACCTGCAAATTGAGTAACAACCGGGGATCAAGAAGCAGTCCCAGACCACAGAGCTGCTCCTTCAGAGAGTAAACAACCCACCCAAAGCAGACTGAGCTTCAGACTGCAGTTCCTTATTTACCAACAGCACCTTTGCCTTGCCAGGATTGAATTTTTCTTTCAACTCCCTTGCCCTGCCCTAATGATAAGTTAGGCAAGGGAGGAGGTATCTCCCAGACTAATTTAGGTGGCAAGATTAGAACTCAAAGTCAGAATATGAGAACTTGGGGAAAGCAGCACGTACTCTGACGGGAAGATTTCTATGGGCTTACTCAACTACTTGAGAATGGTCTCTTTTGGTTTTATTTTCAGAAATGTACATCCTATTTATTCATATGTATGACGGGCAGAGCAACGCATACTTTTCCCTTTCACAAAAAGAAGCACCCTGTCTGGCTGAAAGGTACAGACAAGTATCCTTGTAAAAGGTGATGTGACTGATCACAGAAGAGAAGACCAAGGTGCAACTATTCCAAAATGATAACTAAGGGAGGAAAAAGAGATTTTCTTCCTTACTGTACTTCTCAGTTATGAAGTAGAGATATCTTGAAACAGTTTCTAACTCTTAGGTAATAAGTTAGAATTTCTATAACAGCAATTTGTTAGGATATCCTGGATATCCATCTCAGGCAGATAAAGAAGATAGCAATCTGGTTTTTGAAGAAAATTATTGCTGTACATCTTGCCCTGTTCGACATCATATGAAGTCACAATACAGGGAAGCTGCAGAAATAAACACTGGGCTGCATCAGCAAGAGAAATGATTGAAGAAGAAACACAATTTTGTCCTATATGTCATACATTTGTTTTCATACCATAATCCTTCAAGCCTCATATTGTCTCTCTTGATGACCAGTTTAATAAGGGGTTTAATAAGGAGATGACTTATTTAATCGGTGTTTAACAAGACCAATGGGAAGGAAGATGTTCAGAAAACATTTTAATGCCCATTTTCTAATTTCATATTTGTGGAACAATATGTAAACAGACTTCTTTGAAATTTGTACTTTTCTTAATTTAGCAGTCCCATTCTGCAATTAAAAAAAAATGAATACAAAAAGTCTTATTACTGCCAGGTACTCATTATGGTTAATAAGCATATAAGAATAATATTTTAACAAAAATGTCAGGAAAAAATTGTTCTGTTTGCTATTTGTTTATTTGTTTGTTTGTTTAATTTTTATGCTTCCCATCTCCCTTAGAAGGGATTTCTACCCAATTTTACATTATCAAATTAATATTGTAATTACAATTCCTTTAAAATTCTCATTTTTCTATATTTTATGATGCAATTATGCTTTGTCAAAATGAAAGTTTCAGAAAAAATTAATATATTGACAAATTTGAATACAAATCTTTATAAAATGGTTGCATGTTAATACCGCCTTCATGTATTTTGAAAAAAGTAAAATTTGGATCATTTTAATAGATGTTGAATCACGGTGATTTTTGTATTTTATTTTGACATTAATATTTTAAGTTTTAATATTAATATTTCAAACATTTTTTTTTCATTTTCACTCACACTTTAAAAAGTGAATTAAACTGAGTAGTAAATATTCACAGAAGAATAAGATTTCCTCCCACTCCTCCCAAAATACAGATGTATAAAAACTGTTTTAAAAATTTTTGTAGCAATGGTATCAAGTCGCAAAAGGAGGGTAAATTTAATCTACTTAGCATTAGCTGTAGACAAGAAAAGCCAGATCACCTGGATAGAACTAAGCATTGTAAACAAACATGCGGTCTTCATTCTCACACTCTCCTTATAGCACTAATTTTGGCAAGAAGAAAATGGCTTGCTGCATGAAGAAATATTACTGAGTAATGCACTACTATCCTTTTAGGTGGAAATCAGCTTATGCACAAATGGATCATGCAGGGCAGTGGTGGGATTCAGCCGGTTCACACCACTTCAGCAGAACTGGTAGCTAATTTTTTCTTGCCCAGGCCCAGAATGGACTTCCGGAAGCGGCATCCACACAGAGAACTGGTTGTTCACATATCTGAATCCCACTACTGATGCAGGGCCCTTATATACAGGATTGGCTACTATGAAACTTCTATAACCCTTAGATTTCAGACTCCAGGCAGATGAAAACTCATAACAATGTATTTATTCCAGAATTAATTCTGTTCTCATTAGTTGTAACATTAGGATTTTTAAAAAAAACATTTGTTGAATGTTATGTTAGTGACACAATTGTTAAATGAATCTGGCTTCCTCATTGACTTTTGCTTGTCAGAAGGTCACAAAAAGGGATCACATGAACCTGGGACACTGCAACCGTCATAAATATGAGTCAATTGCCAAGCATCTGAATTTTGACTATGGACAAGCCGCAAATATGAAAAACGGTCATAAGTCATTTTTTTCAGTGCCATTGTCACTAAATGAACTGTTGTAAGTTGAGGACTACCTGTATTTTATGAGGGGCTATGAATGGTATTAGCTAATGTTTTATATATTTTCTGGTGTAAATTTTGAAGTCTCCCTTTGCCTTGTTTCTTAAATGGATAGTGCACTCTTGAGTTCAGGTTGGACATCATCAGTAGAAAAGAAAGCAAAACAAAAAAACACAAAACCACCAGTGGCACCACTAGCAGCAGAAGATATAAACTGTTGGACCTCAATATTTTCTAACCATTTGAGGAACTGTTGAAATTAAGCAATGGGAATGAGAATTCTTGAAAGTTGGAGGGCCGTTGTTATATACAGTATAACGGCTTTTATACTGTTACTAAATTATACTTTCGGCAGCAAACAGATTTAAAAATGGGCAGCCTGTTCTAGGTTGCAAAAACATGGAGAACTATACTTTCAAAGAAGATACAGATAAAGCTTCAACCCTGCCCGTGTTCACGTTCTTTAATCACTATAAATAAAGCCATGAGCATCTTCTCACCACCTAGACATAAAAGATGTACAAATACTTTTGTCAGGCGAAGCAGTTTTCTTCCTGTGAATAATAAGCTTTTTGGCTTATGTGCCCGAATCCAAAATGGTCGTTCCCAAGGAACTGAGAGTTATATTGTATAATAAGTTCAGGTTTCCAATACTCAGAATGTTTTACAAGCCTGGTTAAATGCAATTGAAATAAAATGGCGGTACTGTACATGATGACTTGTTAACCAGCTAAGCCACATAACCCAATCAGTGGAAGAACATATATAAAACAAGATTTCTAATTTGGGACATTGTAAAAATAATGATTAGTCATGGCTGCATAAAATGAAAAATATAGATGTGTCAGCTATTATGGTTGACTTGTATAGACTATATCTATATGCAACATACTGGTATCATTTATAATCTGATGATGATTTTTAACAAAGAAGAACAAAAATATGTGATGCAGTAGAGCTTGAAATCTGAGGAACTAAATAAAGGATCTGAGATTAAGGAGTGGCTCAAAATATAATGCAGAAGTCCATCTTAAAGCAGGGGAAATTCACTGTAACATTATTGCTTAAACTAACATGGGAAAAAAGCTTATATAACATCCAAATGTGAATCTATTGAGTTACATATCATACTAAGGAATAACAGTTGCAGGACTGCAATCTTAAATGTTCTTGACAAAGAAGCCTAAATGCTAAGCACATTTGCACCGAAAAAAAACACACTTTAAATCTTTTTTTTCCTAGAAAAAAATCTGTTCCAAAGGAAATCTTCACTGTGGTGTGAATGCTTTCAGAGTTTGCACAACCCAAAGACAACATAGGTAATGAAGGAAGACTTAACCCCTGGTGGACAGCCTCAGATTCAGTGTGAAAAAAATAACCAAAACCAATGGTTAAGATCCCAAATGATTAAGTTATCTGGGATTTAAAAAAAAAAATCCCTGTGAGAAGAAAACTATTTCCATATGGGCATCTCTGCTTCCTTGAATGTTGCAGGAGTGTTTCGAGTTCATTTCAGCATGCTGCTTATTTATATAACTCATAGGCTGGACCTGAATTTTACTCAACCAAATGGTGTTTAGTTTTAGGTTCTTGATGATCATAGAATCATGGAACTCAGAAAGAGAGATAGCAAGGCCTAAGACTTTTTAAGGTTATGGTCAACCCCAACCTTTCTTCAAAAAAAACCAAGCATGAGAGACTGACTTTCAGTTTTAGAGCTAATTATTTGATCGAACTGATTCAAGGCAACATAGTGCTGTTGCTGCAATTATGAAGAGAACTTGTGGTATCAAAACAAAGGAAGGCACCTACCATTTATGAAAACATCCATGTCCACAAGAGCCAAGCCAAACACCAAGAGTTCTAGCCACAAAAACATGGTTATATCCAGGGATTATATGTATCCTTACAAAACAGCATGTGGATGTCTGTCTCTGGAAAGTAAAATAAAAGTTATTGCTCTCTGTGAAAGTCATGCAAAGTCCCCATCAAATGTAGAACAGACTGTACGCATACATTGAAACTCGTCTTTATAATCCAAGAAGCAGCTTCCTCTGTCAGGCAAAATTTAACTACTGGCAGTCACACTCTACAGCAAAGTGATGTCAGTTTTACTCACTTCTCTAAAACCACTTTTTCTTCTTTCTTCAGTTTCCAGGAAGTAACAAAGAGGGTGGTTTTTTCCCCCTGAAGTTATTGCAGTGCTGTTCTGATATCCTACTTAAGAAGCAATTGCTTCGGTAGAATTGAGGTTTTTCTTTCAAATGTTGAAGTAAATTTAAATATTCTTATCTTTGATCAAAGAAAAATAAAAACCCTGCTATTCAAAAAAGAAAATAAGGCAAACTTTTCTATAATATAATATAGTGACAAGTTTAAAAACAAGTCTACATTACGTGATCTCATTCTTCTTTAAAGTACTCACTAGGATAAACAGATGTGGACAAACAAGGATGATATTTTCACGAACCTAAAGTAAATGAAGTAATTATGCTAAAACTCTCATTTGTGATCGAGGATGCTAGCTAGGGTTATGGACATTATAGTATAACAACAAGCCTGAAAACTAGTTTAAGAATCACTCATCTAAATTAGACTATGCAACTTCTTTTTTCTTTTCTTTTTTACAGACTGAGGGCCACATTTGGACTTTGAGTAGTAGTAGTAGTAGTAGAAGGTCTACCTTCCAAAAATGAATGAGATTAGAGGGGAAAACTAAACTAAGTTTAAATGTAATTTTAATTATATTTACATTAGCATGCATCTAATGTTTCTTTTCTGCTACAGTCCAGTAACAAATTCTGAGGGGATCTGTGAAGGGTATGCATTGATCTGAGCGTAGTGCAACACCAATCCATGGAATGTTTATCAAAACCATCAGCTGACCCTTACTTGCAATCATTTAGGCACAAGGAATACATGTCACTATGGGGACAAGTAGGTATATATGTCTTTTCTCCAATCCTATCTCCCATGTCAATTACTCAGGGAGTAATCCTATGCTAAAGCAGTTTTCAGAGCAGTAGAACTACTGAAGTAGAGTCACTTTCTGTGAGATTGAAGTCATATAAATTTGATTAGTAAAATATAAATAAACCCTTAGGTAACTATTTCACAATTTTTATTGGTTTATTTATTAAATTTATATGCTGCCCATCTCACTCTGAAAAGGAACTCTGGACGACCTACAATTAAAATAACAAATATTAAAAAAACATTAAATACAAAGACAAGAAACAAAAATGGTAAGATTGTTACAGAGGTAGCATCTTTTCAGTTAATTCATCAGCCACCTTCAACACTAAGTGCCCCCATCAAAACTCCAAGCTAACTGGCATAGCCAGGTTTTAACACGCTTCTGGAAAATCAAAAGGGCTGGAACAGACCTCACCTCCGTCTCTTCAAGATTATAGCTGCATTAATTTTCACACAGCTGACAAGAGGGCTGATTTGAGAATAGGCTGGCATAATTTTTCTTTCCATACTGGCCTGTGTATTGGCCATTATGAGAGAAGAATAGCTGATTTTCCTGATGGACATGGCGTCAGAAATCTTGGGAGACAAAATTGAATCCCCCCATTTATCTACTGATGATAATCACTTGGTATTTTCATTGTGCCAGGTGTTAGCTTCTTCTGCTACGATGAAAAAAAATGAAGCAAGAAGATATTGAAAAGTAGAATAATGAAAATCTCCCAATGATTCCTTTGACTGATTAACATGCACTTCAATCATTTCCAAATGGGATGTAAAACTGTCTCAAAAGGCTGTCTACACGGGAAATACATTGTGTAGCTATGCTAACTTCGATTGCCATACACAATCTTTTTTTAAAAAAAAAATCTTGACAACATAGTAATGTGTGTGTTGACATATCTCAAATGCCTGAGCATCAGCCAGTTATGGAACGAAGCAGTGAGCTTTCAGAACAGGCTTTCCATTTTTGTGGAAGAGCCACTTGTTCTGATTTTAGTAAAAGCTAACCTCCCTGCTAATAAGTCACATCATGGAAGAGTTGAAACTATTTTCAAGTATGATATAAGGATAATATATCAAGCAAGATATGTAGTAACAGCTGCTCATATGATTCACAAGGGTTGATAGAATTCTGAAAGTACAAAGGCAGATATGTGTTTGCTGAATGATCATTTAAGGCAGGGCTCTTCAGACTTGGCCCTTTTATGACTGGCTGAGGAATTCTGGGAGTTGAAATCCACAAGTCAAAAAAGGGCCAAGTTTGCAGGAGAGCTGTATACTTTCTGCAATTTATGACAGACCAAGTACTTAGCAATTACATTAGCTCTCCCATCTCCATCTTCATTCTGCGAATGTTGTCACTTACTGCATAGTATCTGCTGTTTAGCTTCAAAGAGCCCAGTGGCAATTCTATCAAACAGAGGTGCATAATTGGCATCTGATATCAGTAATAGGAGTGGTTTTTTGTTTGTCATTGAGTTTTGGGGTCCATGCTATGGCAGCTTAAGAGATTTAGCCTCTATCAAAGTAGGTGTGTGTTCTTTCTACTTTTTTTGAAAGAGAAATAAGATGGCTTTCCCAGAACTTGCCAGCTCCAACCAGAAAAAGTAAGAATTGTGTGAAGCTGGCTCTATTAGGAGGCCAGAAAAAGATATTGAATGAGAAGGAAAGTCAGAGAGAAATAAAGAGGAAACAGATGGGCCAAAAAAGAAGTACACCAGCAGCATGACATGACATGTTACATATACCACAACCAGCAGGTATATATGCAACAAGTCATGGCTATAGGTATCCTTTGCCTCTTTTTCAACAACTTTCCATAAATTCTTATCTTTTATTTTAACCAACTTCTAGTACATCAGACCTTGTTTAAGGAAGAATGAGAAGAATAGAGTATCATTGGTGTCATTTTCTTTATGCATAAGATCTTTCTTTAATACATCTGCACTTTTATTCAGTTTCTCTTTGAAGTTCATCTTGAAGGAAAATTGATATAGATGGATTGGTATGTCTGTGTCTGTATACAGTACATGAATTATGTGTATGTGTGCAGGGTTTATGTGAATCATACATTCAGCTGAAGAAATAAAATGATTATTTGGAAAAGCTAAAATATTGAAGATGCCAGGTTCATGCACTCCTTGCTGTCAATTACTTACATTTTGTTCTCAGTAGTTGTCAAAATAGCCTATTATACAATGGAATGCATTTAAAGTCAAGCTCAGGATCCAAAAAGATCTTGACAAACTTGAACAATGGGCCCTATCCAACAAAATGAGTTTTAATGTGGAGAAAAGCAATTTTTTTTTCATTTAGGCAGGAAAAATCAAAGGTTTAAGTACAGATTAGGCAAAATCTGGCTTAAAAACAGCAACTATGAGAGGGACTTTAGAGTCCTAGTGGACGATCACTTGACTATGAGCCAGCAATGTGCAGCAGCAGCCAAAAAAGCTAACACAATCCTGGATTGTATAAACAGAGGCATAGAATCAAGATCATGTGAAGTATTAGTACCACGTTATAAAACCCAGTAAGACCAAACCAGGAATACTGCAACCAATTTTGGTCACCATACTACAAAAAAAAAAAAAAAATGTTGAGACCTTGGAGAGAGTTCAGAGAAGAGCAACTAAAATGATCAAAGGCCTGGAGACTAAAACATACGAAGAATGGCTGCAGGACTTGGATTTGGCTAGTCTAAAGAAAAGAAGAAATAGGGGTGACATGATAGCAGTATTCCAGTATTTGAGGGGCTGCCACAAAGAAGAGGGAGTCAAACTATTCTCCAAAGCACCAGAGGGCAAGACAAGAAACAATGGTTGGAAACTGATCAAAGAGAGAAGCAACCTGGAATTAAGGAGAAACTTCCTAACAGTGAGAACAATTAGCCAGTGAAACAGCTTGCCCCCAGAAATCATGGGTGCTCCATCACTGGAGGTTTTTAAGAAGAGACTGGACAGTCACTTGTCTGAGATGTATAGGTTCTCCTGCTTGAACATGGACCTCCAAGGTCCCTTCCAGCTCTTCTATTCTATTCTATTCTATTCTATTCTATTCTATTCTATTCTATTCTATTCTATTCTATTCTATTCTATTCTAAATTATGTACATAATATCCCTAATAATGCCTCTCCTGCAAAGTTTTATAGGGCTTTGGCTAAAAACAATGAAGGGCAATGTAGTGATATTTTAAAAGACAACAAAAATTTGTATTGTGAAAATTGGGGGGGGTGGAGAGTTTAGGGTTTACACTGGTTAAAGTTATCTTACAGAAATAGCCAAGAAAATAACTGAGAAAAAAACAAAACAAAAATGGAAAGAAGTAAGGGAGAAAGAAAGGATTCAGGTAAGTTGTTAATAGGAAATCCAAAAGCAGGATTGATTTGAGATTTAGTTATACTTTGTATAGACTCAATAAAATCAAATTGTATTATTTATATCCAGGTTTTTCTCTGGGAGCCCAAGGTGGTACACATCTCATAATTTTACCCCAAAACAATAATCCTGAGCTCAAAAAAAGTGTGATTTATCTGTCCAACCTACATTACACTGGGTCTCATAATTGACTGAATACTTGTAGAATACTAACATCCTTTTTGGACCAAGCAAACAAATTTTCTGTTCTTTCATACATCCTGCTCCTCATGTATGTACTTGCATACCTGCGCATGCATATATGCGTACTGACTTATTTTCACTGGGTGATCGAAGAGATGAGGATCATGCCATCTGGTAAACACTTATTAGAATTATTTTGCTTTTTCCTGGAATTGAACCATCTGCTAGAGGCACATTTAAATAATCCTTCACATTTGCTTAGATATTACACTGCATGCAGGACAACAATTATTTACAACAATAAATGCTGTATCTGGTCACAGTAAGATCTTTTTAAAAGAGTTCTTAGGAGTGTGTCTGGGAATAAAAAGTGACAATTGCATGCAAGAGTTTAATAATAACAAAAATTAATCCAGCTTTTTCTGAACTGGAGTTATATAGTAGGCCTTCAGACGATAGCTCTGATCATCTTTTTTCACCAGTGAAAATTCTTTGGTTCTAAATGCTTATGAAATCAAAGTATGAAATCACATTTATGAAATTGGTTTATGTGAAACCTAAATATTGTGATGATT